GGTATGTATGCATGTGTGTGTGTGTTTGGGCTTAAAGAGCACAGTTTTGCATGCGCTCGCCGGCGGGGCTGACGGACTGCAAACTTTACTAGTTTTTATCGTCGAAGCAGCAAAATAAGCTCCTTAGAAACGATAAGGACCTGCGAACGCTGCTGGCAGCGGAGAGGAATTTAACAGCTACAGTCGAGACTCACCAGCATATCTTATCGTACAGTTAAGTGACATTTGAACACGCAGCTGGATGAGGGTTTGGGTGGTACCTCGTCACCAGAATTAATCAGTGGCAGCTTATTGTCTGTTAACCCTGCAGTCACTCCTCAGATAAACACAGCAGCAGAGAGAGAGAGAGAGAGAGAGAGATGGGAATATAAGGAGAGATAATGTAATGAACGCACTTCCTGCATATTTCACTTGCAGCTCGGTTGCTGTAAATAAACGCAGATAATGTGAAACTGCTTTAGATGGAAAAACAAAAACAAATCTCGCAGAAATTAGGCAATCGAGTTCTCCACCTACAGTCACGCGAACAGCGCAAATGAGATTCAATTAGAAAAGTATAAGCTCGACTCTTTTGTTGCTTTCTAATTGTTTTCCATAATGAGAAAGCTCTGCCTGCCTTTAGGGGAGAAATATTGCAGGGTAAGCAAAAACAAGTCTGCCGGCTTCAAACGGAGTCGGAGTCTGTGAGTCGCATCAGACGGCGACGGACAAACCGAAGAAAACGTTTCCCACGAGCAGAACAGGCCGGTTATCAATACTGGGAGTGATGTTTGGTGTTTCGCCTGTAATTCAAACTGTTCTGCTGATTTAATTACATGCATGCTGGTGCTGTGATAAAGAGAACACCAGCTGTATGCTATTAAAATAAAAAAAAATAATAATAATAATAAATTTTTGACTGGAATTTTTTTTAACAGTTTTACAAAATTTCCCAGTTTTGTTAAATTACACATCATGTTGAAAAGGCAGAAAAAATTATATTAACCACTACTTTTTTTACGATATTTATATCAGCAAAAAAATTAATTATTTTACAGATATTTGTTATTTCATTGTATTGATGAACAATTATTTTACTGATTGTCCCTGTTTTTGTTTAATTACTTATATCTCACAATATCACAGAAAAAAAATATTAATTTAAACGTTGACTGTCAAAAAACAACAACAACAACAAAAAAACGATAACTGCAAAAAAAGTCCACTACAAATAATAAATAGTTCTTTTACAGTGTATGATCCAAACATTGCACTGTTTTTAAATAACAAAAAAATATTGAAATTTTTAAGATTGAACATTAGAAACTATGTTTTAGCTGGTATTTTACTGATCTGCCCTGTTTTTTTGTTTTTAGTTTACAGATAATAGCTTTTAAAAATCACAGACAAAAATGATTAGTTGACAGATTTACTGTTAAATAAACAACAACAACAACAACAAAAAATAGTCCAAAACTAATGTCCATGTTGAAAATCTGTATTTTTACAAACAGTAATTCTCTCTTGTCTGTAAAATTCTGCTGATTTACTGTATTTCAATGAGCCATTTTTAAAATATATACATATATTTTACAGATATTTGTGTCTATTTTCACAATTTTTTGCTTTACATTTTTTAAATATCTGGTATTTTACCATTTTTTAACTTTCCTGCCAGATTTTCTCTTTATTTATTCGTTTGTTTTTGATAGTGTGGTTTTACTGCCGTTCCTTGTGTCTGTCGGAGCTGCAAAGATTAACAGCAGCGGCGCCGCTGGTCAGTCGCTGCTGCAAGCAATAAGAAATCAAGACTAATGTCCGTTTACTTCCTGGTGTCGAGGCTGCAGTCAGACCACAGTGACAGCGAACAACAGAGAGGCGGCGTGGAGAGACTGAAAAGCCTGTAATCAAGTCCTGAGTGTCGGGTTTTAGTTGGTGGCCGGTGTGCCATTAAGTTTAGTTCAGCCTGAGTGGCTGCGCTATATGGAGTGTGTTTCATATTCAGTAATAAAACATGCCACTGTGTCCTTCCTCTAAACCTGTGTGTGTGTGTGTGTGTGTGTGTGTGATGCTGGAAACATCAAATCTCGTTACACTGAGGTAACATGCAGTCTGCACCCTCAGTGAACTTCCCCTCCAACAGAAGGCAACAGAGGAGGTTATATTTTCCATTCAGAACCTAACGGTGTCATAAAGAGAATGCATTATGGACACGTATTATGCGGCGCTGCTGTGTGCACCATGTCTGCATGAAATGCAAAAAGGCGAACAAGATGAATCAGACAATGTTCCAAGAAGCTCCATAAAAGCGCTGAAATGACCATATTCATTAGGCTGTGTGTGACATAAATACAATATGTCTCCCTCTATACTGCAGTGTGTGAGGAGGACACCGTGTTTATGCGACAGGCTGCAGAGCCCAGCCCAGTCTGGACCAGCTCAGCCCAGCCCAGCTCGACCCAGCCGGCACTAATCCATCATCACCACCACTGAATCATCGCGCTGCCAATAAAGGCAGGCGGCAATACATTACAGACATGTGGCAGGCTTTAGCGATAATGACATTGAGAAGTCCCCTTGGGCTGCAGGAAAAGCCTGGGCGCACGACACACTTGCTTACAGAGGCAATAATATATGGAAATGCATCAGCGGGCAAGACAAGGGAGAGGAATAAGGAGATGAGGGAGCGAGTGGAGCTCAGTGTGTTCAGAGGAAGAGCGAGGAAACGGCCTTCAGCGGCCACTTGGTATCAGTTTCCAACGTGGATCATCCAAATCCAACATCCAGTGATGAGGCTCATTTTAGATTCAAGCCTCTGCAAACACGCCATCTTACAAGATATCTGATATGTCAACATCCCATTTTCTGTCTTATCTTGCTCTCACGCTGCTCAGCTGATACTACAATACGGTGTGGACATGGGACATGTTAGATACAGCGCTGCCAATCATCGGCCTGCTGGGTGGCGCAGAGGAAGGCCAGCAGCAGGAGAACCGACGAATACGGTCCGATTAGCCGCGGTCGCCGCCGTCCTGTTATCTGCTGGCTGACACCGAGAACAATCTGCCGCTAAGCCGCCGCCTCCGCTGCAGACGCACAACATGCAGCCGCAAACAAACGGCCAAACTTAAAATGTGCGGTCGAAGCAGGTGTAGAGGTGAAGGGAGGCGAAGACACAAGCCGACAGCAGAAACAACACGGCAGCTCCGTCTGTCCGGAAATCTGTCCGTCGTTACGGCGTCAGACACTCGGGTTGCAAAAATAAATCTCTGCTATTGTGTGACAAACTCTAATTTTACTTTCTGCATTTAAATTAAAAGCTTACTGGGTTGCGGCGTGCTGAGAAATGTGCATTAGCCTCGGGGTCATTAAGGTTTTATGAAACCCGTTCAGCGCGTGCGGCCGCCAATTTGAAAATAAAAACTCTTCTGACATCAGTTAAGTGGGATTCCAGTGTAAAAATAACACCTTTAAGGCTTGAAGTGGGCTCACGCTTCAGGTTATTGGACAGATTTAATCCTGATTTTAAAAAACACACAGATTGAGATGGAAAGAGCATCTGTGAAAATGAAGTTCACTTAGAACAGCTCTGACTTCTGAACATTTGTTATACGGCCACGCCGATTGGTCACCGAAGCGCCGGAAAATTTGATTGAAAATGTTGGTGTGAGCCTCGGATTGTTCTGGAGTATCTCTGTTGAAGCTCAAACATGGATGTAATAAAAATAAAAGTTGTTTTGTTGGTGACAGATGATAGCTGATCTCCAAAGTCAGAGACACGAATCCTTTGGGTTTCCAACACATGGCATGTCTACAACAGAACGGACGTCATGAAACGTTTCCACCTTCTGGGAGTTGATGATGTCGTCGATGTTGCTGGTGGAAAGTTGTCCCAGTCTTCTGGAAGGGTTGGGTGAAGTTGGCAGACATTTTGGGGCGACACAGTCGTGTTGGTGGACATCCAGAGCGTCCCACAGATGCTGGATGGACAACCTCTAGAGAATTTACAAGTCATGGTGGGATCCTAACATGTTCTGCAGACACGAGGATGGTCTTGTTCAAACATCAGGTGGTGGCAGCAGATGAACTGGATAAGACGGGTGTGAGAGGATTTCAGCTCGATGTCGCTGGACATTGCCTTTTGGTGTTCTCTGTCCATCATCTTCGCCTTCATGAGGGACTTCCTGCACACCACCAAACACCATGTGGTCCATCTGCTTTGTCCAGCTGATAAACTGGATTCAGTGGTGAACAGGATCGTCCTCCATCTTGGTAGCGTCCATTGAACATGAGAGGTTTCCAACTGAAGCCGATTGTGATCTACTGTTAGATCAAGGCCTCTGTTTGGGTCAACAACAGTGAAACCGGCTTCCTGATTCCTCACAACCTGAGTAGACATTCTCTGGTTGCTCGAGATGGCTGAGCTGTGGATCTTCTGTTGGGTGGTGACGTAGTCGGCGAACATGCGGGAGGTGGTCTCTCGTCTCGTATGAGAAAATTTTCCTGGACGACAAACGGTGGAGTTGCTGACATTCAAGAGCCTGGCTACGACCTGAACCACACCAGCATCCAGCAGCATGGTCTTGTCATGCTTTGTTCATCTGTGAATGAAGCTGGAGTTTCAGGGTGGCCTTTCACGGTCACACTATCTGATCATTGTCCTTTAACGCCACACTGGAGAAAGGTGTGGTTAGATGGTCAGTGGTTAGAGAAGGTGACCAGTCCAACAGTTACATTCTTTTTTCCTGCACATTTTAACCACTTTCTAAACACAACAACAGGATTTGGGAGGAAGAACATTTGCATGCTGCGTTTTATAAAGTGGTCGCTGAGATGTTTTAGTGGTGAAGCAGCAAACTGACCAACATCAGCATCCACAGACTGCTAACATCAAACACAGACTCCCCACATAGAACACAGAACTGCTCGGCGCTCTGAGCTTCTTGCGTCCGATGTGAGTCTCATGCAGTTTGTTTGAAAACCCACGAGGCAGAAAACGACAAAGAAAAAAAGACGAGAGGTTTGCGCTGATAGAATAAAAGTCTCGATTTATTTCTGTTTATCTATACATTAAACAGGTGTTCCTGAATGCAGCAAGAGAAAAACACAGAACAGGATGCTAAGCGTCAAAGAGTTGCTCGCATAGCAGAGGTGTGGCCGGTTTAGCAAAGACATGTACACTCTCTATCGCATATACTTATAACATTTTCTGTAAATGTAGGGTTGCCTCTGCGAGGCTAAAGTAGGGTGAGGGAGTGTTTACTGCAATAGTCTTGAAGTTCTTTTCACATTATCATACCAACTGGAAAATAATCCATACAGTAATAACCCTGTCTTCCCCTAATGATCACTGCAATGCATTTATAACTAGTACAGACAGGTAGGTACCCAAGCAGCCCTGTATAGCTCAGTTTAATTCAACTCAGTGAAAACGTAGTTCTGTATGGATTTGTCATGTCGCCGTTTTGTCCCCTTTCGATTCAATCTCAAGGCTGTGCAGACACATTCAACTCTCTATCTCCGTAGTTGGTCCTCCACCCCGACAGTGATGTGGTACCAGGTTAGTAACTCAACACCTGCATAGGAATTCAATTACACACAAAGCTCCCTGGGTCAATTCCCTGGACCAGAGCAAAGCTTACAGTCGGACCGTCGTAAAAACGGTCCAACGAATGGCTTAAGTGCTTCCATAAAACCAACCGCTGTGTATTTCAAACACACACTACTCACAGTAGAGAGGCGCCAGCACATTTCATGTTCAAAAAAACATGGTTGGAGTTTAAAAAAAACAACAAATAAACTAAACAAATACATACATACTGAAAGGTAGACCAACCCGCCCCTTCAAGAAAAGAAAAGAAAGAAAACAACATACTTCAAACACTTTGGCGCAGAAAAGATTCCATTGGTGTGAACAGGGTGAAAGAAAATATAATGCACTTTTAGTATACTTAAGCCAAGCTCACAGTAATCAATCATGAAACGAATTGCTACACTAAATTCATCATCTTAACACTGATAATTACATCGTTTAGGTGACACTGAGGGACGAAGCGATACAACTGGGGGGTCACGGATGGAAGCGGCAACGAGATCGAATCGATCGTACCAGCTGACATGCAGGAAACTCCACAAAGAAGTCTTCGTGGATGCACTCAGCGATCTCAGTTTCCTTTGTTTTTGTTTTTTTTTAACACATTCCCAGGATCGCTTCTGAACTACCAATGGAATCCCTCCTCTAGAACCCGACTCGAACAGAACGTGGCTTTGCCGAGGACCTCTTCTACCGCGGTAGCACGCCGCCCCGGCCCCAGACGAGAGTTCCTGCGCGACAGTCTGGCGTGCAAGCCAGTGAACAGTGGCATCCTTTGAATCGAACTGAGCTGATAGTCGTGTACTATATCTATAGCTGTAACCTGATCTAACCAGTAAAAATGCATATTTCTGAAAATACAACTGCAACAATGTAAGTCGAGAGACAACGGATGCATCCATTTAAAATCAGCAACTTCTGAGGTACTTCTGAAACTCACAGCTGAGGATATAATCACTATCTACAATATTTGGATGGATAGCATATAGGTCGATACAGTAATAGCAGGGTTAGCGGTTTTCGCGAGAAGATATTTTGGCTTAGAATTTTGATTAGCTGAGGGGGGATAGTGGCGGTTGGTTGACACACCTGAATAAAACATAGCTGTAATGACGATAAAAACATAGAAAAACAGCACCATTTGAGGTCCGATAGATCAGTTTTTGAACTGTTTGCTGGTAGCACCGTCAACCAGTAAAAATCTCAGAATGCAATACAGAGACAGAACACAACCACTGATCAACTGCACGACATAGCAAAGAGCGAAGATATATATTCAGAGACGACCCCCTCACACACAGACACCCCCGTTACAGCAGCATCTTTAAGCAGGTAATAAAACTGATTTCTCCTAAGAATGATATTCGTGTACTGAGGTGTTTTACAAGTTTTATATGCTGTACATGTTGAGAGTAACCATTTTGTATAGAGTTTTTTTTTGTTTTTTTTTTTGTCTTTTTCTAAATCTTTTTAATATACACACATAGTTTACAGTCACTGACAAACACCAGAGTAACAATGAGGTAGGACGGTGAAGTTAGATGAAGTAGAACCGGTTTGTGGATTGTATACAAAGTTACTGATACCTTTTAATAAAAATAGAGGCCTAACAATGTGTTCCTCCCGTTTCTCTGATCTTGAAGTAAGCCTGACGTTGTATCTGAGGCTCAAACAGTTATGTGTTTTGTGTACGTTTAACTTCTGAGAACTGCGAGATGGAGCCACTTATCTTGTTCCACACAGTGAAGTTAAAAATGGATCTGTGTTGTTTTTTTTTTCTTTCTCCTCCTTCCCCACCAATCAAACTGTCAGAAAGCAAACATAAAGCTCCTGAAGCTCTGACAGGGTGTTCGCAACCAGAAAAAAAAAAAAAACACCACCACGCGGAGGAGAAGATTCGCCATTATCTCGATACGTGTGCATTTCTAAAAAAACTCTAGTCAGGAGAGCAAGGAACCAGAGGTGGCATAGGAAGAGGATCACAGAGCCAGCCAGGTTGTGTTTCCTGCCTATCGCTACTGAAGTGTGACAGTGAGAGCACTGGAAGGATCTGGTGTTGCGTTGCAGGGCCAAACTAGCCTATATCGTCCACTAATGGCCCTGCGCTGGTTATGTAATGGTAATAATAATATGCCGCTAAAACCCGAAACGCCTCTCCGCAAGTGACTCGGTACATTTGATAGAGATCGGCAGATTAAGCCAAATCTGGGTTAAAAACATACAGTACTTCCATACAGCTTTCATCCACAGAAGATTCTTTTTTTTTTTTTTTTTTTTGTCGTTAAAGGATTAGGCTAAACCGCGCTCCAGGAAAAACCAGCCTTTTGAAAAAACAGGTTTCAGACGACGTGATAGCTCCATAAAACGCTCCTTCTGTAAGCATCGTTTTAACCACACCCCCTTTTGGCATCGAACAACAAAGAAACAAAACACAAACACAACACGCGACAAACGGTGTCAAGAGTTTTCAGCAAGGTTGCTTTGCACAGCAGAAATCTTTTCTTTAAAAAAAAAAAAAAAAAAAAAAAAAGAAAAAAAAAATCGCATGAGTTTTCAAATACAGCCCAGCGCACGTAAACCTCACATGTTGCTTTGTACAGGAAGAAACGAAACAGGAAAGGAAAGGACGCTGGAAAAAGGGAACTGATTTAAAAGGAAACACCCACCCAAAAATATATATATATATATCAATAACACGCCACCGTTCAGGTGACTTAAGATTCACTAAGCTCCATTACCGTGGCATGGGCCATTGGTTTTTTTTTGTTTTGTTTTGTGCAAACCCCGCTGATTCCTCAGTCAGCATCCCCCTTCTTTAGCTTGATCTCAGCATTCAATACTTTGGCTTACAGTTACCACTCATTTGTAAAAATACACAATTATGCCTATATAAGTCATATTTATACATAACCAGCATATTGACACATTAAGTTAAAGCACATATTCCAGTCAGCTTGCACATTTCATTGGTAAAAGTCTTAAAATTGGTTGATTTTGCGCAGAAGAAGTCGTCTGTCGCTTGTCAATTCGCCAAATAATCCGTCTATTGTTCAGGAGGCTGCAGCGGAATTGTAGGATTCCAGTTTCAACATAACTTATGGAAAAAAAATGGTTAAACCGTCGATTAAATCGTCTTAAACTAAACCTATCGAGCTTGTTGTGGAGCGTTGGCATGTCAGGGGCACGTCTGACCGACAAAACGAAACTAGATCCCACAACTCATTCTTGCCGTAACAAACAACAAACCAAAAATGTTCTAAGGTGCTTCATGAGAATACAATGATTGTTAGGCCTTAAATCTATAAACACATTTAAAAAAAAAAAAAAAGGACAAATACCACAAATACATTTCTTTAAGTTTGAAGAAATCGCCCAGAAGTTTAAAGTGCATTCAATGTAAATGATTTGTGTTGATCTAACTACTGCATCTCAACTGTCAGAGCGCAACGGTTTAACATCTTACTATGGCAGATCCGCAGATCCTAAGTGAGGTTTTCGTTAAATATCACATGTTGTGAATGTAATGTATGGGTTCTGTTAAAAAAATTAAAATAAATCCGATGTTAAGGAAAGCCTCGCCTCTCTTGTTCCACAGAGATCACTTTGGCTAAGCGGAGGGGAGGGGATACGTTTTCATCTGCTCGTAGACGCCACTGGTCTACGTCTGGATACAACATCAAGCTTAAAGCCAACAATTCATATGAAAAAAAATAATATATATATATATATAAATGTAAAAAGAAACACATGAAGTCGACAGGTTAACGTGGAATTACAACATCAATTAGCTAAACCGAAAACTGAAACCAGAACCGTTAAACTGTAACATGACGACAAATTGAAATATCCATGTTTCGGTGGAAAAATAAAAAGATGTGATTTATGTACACTAAAATATCTCCAAAACATAAAAGTAGCTTAAGAAAAGGCTGATCTGAACTTTTTGAAATAACAAAAAAAACAACAAGATGGACAAAAAAAGAAGAAAGAAACCGAGAGACGGACGAGGATCTAAGAGGAGTCTGGCTTGATGGGCAGCTCTGCAGCAGATTCACAGTTAGCCACAGCTAGGTCACAGTTGAGATTTCAATCTGCAGCGTTTAGTTCCAGCCTGCAGACAGCCACACAAACCATTTTGGGTCAAAACAATATAACAACGGGAGAGAAAGGAAGGAAAAAAATCATGAAAAAACATACAAGAAACAGAGGAAATCTTAAAAAGTTCTGATGGCATAGCTCAGAGGAAATTGTCACCGGAGCAACCTTACTTTGTTCCCCAGCGATGTGGCTTTAAACAAGAGGGGGTTATTACAGGGTTCAGCAGGGCCAGACAGCTTCAACAGCACAATAGTGTTCCAGACAGCTTTACCCACAGCTAACACTGCCTCCACAAGAAGATGACCTGGAGCGTGCAGAGCTGTGCCCTGATTCTCATCCCGGCAGTAGTCCGGCTCAGCTCAGCCTAATGGTGTGAACCGCACAGAAAATAGTACCTGGCCACCGCTTACATTCTCACAGCAAAGTGCAGGTGAAGCTTCATCACTTCAGCTTGCTATATATTTACAATCACAGCTTACTAGAAAACCCAGGAGCGTTACCAGTCCCTGGTGATTGCCAAATCCATTTAAGGCCTTTCTTGGCATCGACGTGCCCGTACCTCCACCTCCACCACCACCTCCACCACTCAACAGTCAAGTTTTCTGAAAGTGACATGTATGATTAAGAGCAACACACGGACATCCCATCCAAAGCTTTCTTGTGCTCTCTCAATGATGGCAAACGTTCGTAACTTAAAGGTCAACATAAAAAAAACAAAACAAATACAGCACTCTGTAGACTCGACACCAGAGTCGTCCTGCCCGTTAAATCTCTATAAGCCCTCTTTTTAATAAAGTGAGGTGTTGTGATTAACCTACAGTTAAGGGGGCGCACACACTCATAATTAATCTCTTGGAGCAACAGAATCTCTGCTGCAAAATTAAATATGGCTGTTACTAATTAAGACTTGTGCATTTGAGACCCTCGTGTCCCGTTCTATGCAATAAGTACCAACAGCAAACACTGGGATCCCCGGCAGCTATCGGGTGAAACAGTCGACCGCTCTCTCTAACAGCTAACAGCATCTTTAAAAGACTTCACCTGGGGAACTGCTTTTTTTTTTTTAAGAAACTTTGTAAAAGTTCAAGGACTCAAAATTATGTTCTGACACAGAACAATAAATTAATTTAACAATCACATCTAATTTTCATCGTTTGACACATATGCACACACCTCAACGATCTCGGTACCAACGCCGCTGTAAAGCTTATAAAAACACACACACCAGCTCACACCAAACGAGTTCACATGTGGTCTAAATCTGTAACTGGTGGGTAAAGCTGTCTGCGAGCCAATTAGAAAACTGGGAGAAACGAGACGGTCGCTCTACGGGGAGGTGGGACGGGGCCCGTTTGTTTTAACCTAAGAACCAAATCCGATGTGTAAGAAATGGGACCGCTTCTGAAGCGGAGACAGCATCCCCCAAACGCCCACATCGAGTCCCCTCGACGTCCTGCAGACCACGCGGGGGGGCAGAAGGCGCTGGCGTGACGGTTGATCATTATATGCCATCGTAGGTGAAGTTCTCCATCTTGACTGTCTGTCTGATGAGCAGCTTGGACTCCCGCCGCTCCTCGTTCTTGATGGACTTGTTGATGTCCATTATCTTTTCACAAATGTATTTGTTCACTTTGGACAATCTCTGCGTAATCTCTGCACTGTCGGCCGTCTCTTGAGACACTCTGTCGTAGAGACACTCTGGGGAAGGAGTGTGAGGAGTCATCACATTAAAAGCTGCTCGTCTTGTCTGATGTACATTAAATGGATTTTTACAGATGAAACAGAGCGTCAGTGTCTTATTTTTGTATCTGATGTTTTCCAGCTTGACTCAACTTAAGCTGAATTCATCTCTTATGGTACGTGTCCACCGGAGCGTTTTAGATCGTGCTGCTTCCCAACATTGGAATTAACGAGGGCGTCACCTTTCTACAGGCTGCACCTGATTGGACGACGCTTCGCTCTCTGCTCTGGGATTTCAAACCGTGTTAACGTGACGGCTGGCTCGGAAACGTTTTGGTGAGAAACAAACTCCTAAATCTCTCCTCGGGTAGTTTAATTCGATGCACCTTATTTGCAGCAAGTAGCCTCAAGTTTATGCAAATGAGGAGCGGGAATCGCAAAACTTTGTCGCTGAAAACGCAAAGAGGCGCTACCAGAATGCACTGCAGGCCGCTTCACACAGACACTGAATGGGAAGTGTTCCAGTGATGATCTACAGGTGTGTTTTTAGACCGCGCTGCTTCCTGACTCTGATCGACAGGTGCCATCCAACAAACATCTGATTGGATGAACGCTTTAGTCAAAGGCTGCCTCCTCCAGGATTTAAACCTGGAAAAAACATGTCAGCTGGTTTGGAAATGTTCTCATTTATTAAGAAAACGGTTCACCAAAGTGAAACCGATCGAGGAGAGAAATGAGCTGCTGGATCCGTCTTTAGTTTAGATCAGTTTAGTTTACACGTTGGTTCTGAAGATTCCAGACGCGTCGGATCGAACTCGACGCTCCTCATTTGCATAAACTCGCCTTGACGTCAACTTTATGCAAATAAGCAGCAGGCGATGCAACGCCACGTCTCTAGAAATGCAACACGGCGCTACCAGAACGCATCTCGCTGACGGGACGGATCCTGTGGACACGTACCATCACACAGTCCTGATTACACTCAACATGTGACCTTACCTCTGACTATTTTGAGCTTGCTGGGCGACAGCGGAGGTTTGGGCAGGGCGTCTTTCTTCTTTTTGGTGGCCACTCCGGTGACACTGCGGTTTTTGAGGGTTTCTGTGCCCCAGATCATGACGGCTAAGTTCTTTGTGAACTTGGAGTCTCCCTGGGTCCGCTGCAGCTGGTGCCACTTCTCCTCTTCCACCCAGATCCCACCGCCAAGGTGGACCTGCAGGGACCACAGATTCACAGCCAAAGATTATTGAAGCACATCGGCCTGTCATTAAAGCTCTACTTCACCCCATGTTGTTAGTATCGGTACTGAAGGATGGCAGCGTTTGAAGAGAAGCTGCATTTCCTTACATTTTCCTCATTGCAAACCTTTTTTTTTTCGCCCTTTTCTAAACACACTGCAGCTTTCATGTTGACAAAACGAGAAGGATGACCGATTGTGCATCGACTGTCAACATAGCATGCCTAAAAAAATAATAATAATGAAATAAACCAAATCGGCGTTATTTTGCTGGCCTGGCCGACAGTCAGGGCGAGCCTTCAGACACCCTAAACCCTCCCTGTAGACGCTGTGTTAAACTTAACACTTAGAAAACCAACACAACCAGAAGACAGAGCATCTCGCCGACAGACACGCCTCATTTTTTGAAGGACTCAAAGAGCGACAGGTTAGCGAATGTGATAGACATCAGAACAACATCCTGCCCTTAAGTTTTATTTATCTTTTTCAGTCCTCTGAGTTTGATAAGTCGATCAGGGACGATGATAACTGCTTCATTTGGCTGTATCTTTTTAACTAACCTACTAAAGCGGCAAACACAACGCAGCGTTCACACTGGGAGCATTAACGAAGCAAGCTGCTAAATGATGGCACGTGTTAAAACTTTACTGCCTGTAAAAGACCCAAGAAAATAATCTTTATATTTATAATAACGTGAGTTTTATCGTACTTTGAAGCCTGTCTCTGGCTCTCATTCCTAAAAGGTTAATAAAATATGTTTCCTAACCCTTTAAAGCACAAAGTCTGCATCTCAATCACATCGTCACTGCTATATTTCAACAGAGGCAAAACTACAAATACTACAGATGCTCTGATCGTCCAGTAATCATCCTGTGATGATGATGATGATGCTGAGACACACAAAAACTTAAAACCAACAAGGCAGGATGTCATATGTACCATTACTTTAACACCAAGTTGATGCCGTAATTCTAAGAGATGCAGCGGTTCTTCATGGTACCAGAAGCATCAGCGTTACAGTAGATCTAGTAGAAATACAGAACCATGAAAGCAACATGTGCTGCAGCAACTCAGCAACAGGCCTTGTGGAAAAAAACCAGGACAAGAGTCGAGCATGAAGATGTTTTCTAAGTTGTGAAAAATCAAAAGGCTCGAGCAGCTTCAGAGATACATCTGTACAGGGTTACTGCGAGCTGAAGCTGCCCTCCTGCTAGACCCTCAGCATCGAGGACAAAGTGGTTGGAAAGCTCACAAACAACAGTAAATATCTGCAGCTCCACAACAACCTCAGCCCAAGCTAGATCCAACAAAGCGCAGCCGCTGATCTGTCCTCAAAAACTTATCGCAGGAACTACAGGACCCTCCTAAACGTCACCATCAGCTGTCAAAGGAGCCCCCTGGCTGCCCTGGTGTGGTGGTCACTGGAGGTTAAAACATCCATGAAGCTTTTAGCGGGTCTCTCGTTGTGCCTGTCACTCAGGGTGGGAGCACGTTCTGGGTTTACAATCAGACAATAAGCTTCTTAATTTCTCAAAGATGATTCAAACGCTTCTAATTGTAGGTTTTATTGACTCATTCATTAACTGCAGAATAAAACTTCTCCGAGACATATTCAGCCTTCATGTTGCTGGCTGCCTGTTTAAAAACTACCACAGCTGGACATCTTTGCTTCTGTCACTCCAATAGAAGAAAAGCTTTACATGTACCGTATTTTAATTCTGACTTCAACTTTAATGAATAAAACCAGAGCTCAGCAGATTCACCTGGTTCCTTTGCAGACTACGCTTTAAACTCGTGATGTGAGCGCTGCTGGAGCGAAATGTGAGCAAAGGATGAGTTGAAGCTCTGGTTTTGTTTTTAAAAAATCTGCTCTTCCCAATCCAAAACTCTTTGCTCACGTGCCCAGGTCTTCGCGCACTGTGTATGTGTTATTTTCTGGTATCAAGACTTGTTGAATTTTGTCGGTATCGGTACCTCCTACCAAATTTCTAGTCCTGTAACATCCATAGACGGGACACGATTAAGGCAAAGTGCAGGAGAACACATCTGAAGCAGCTACTGCTCAGGCCAAGGAGAAGGACCACTTTCACCAAGCAGAATACGTAAATAAGCTCAGGCCACTCGCTGCTTGTAGCTTGGATTAGCTTCATTACGAACTTAGCCTGCGGCCCTCTACACACTGTCACTGCACATTGCATAAGCCTGCACCAAACACTCCAAGCTGATTGCCAGGCGAGGCAGACTGCCCCGGCCTTCTAGGTGAGCTAAAGCAACGGGGGGCATATGTGACTCTGGTTCCCTTCTCTACTCTCTTATCACCGTAAAGTCTTTAGGCGAGCATCCAAAAGGCTTTTCCCTGTGCAGCTAATGTGCTTTAGGCCCCTGGCCAGTAGACAAGCTTTTTACTGCCCTCGAGTTAGACAAGACTGTTTTCATCCTCCCTCCCCTTTGCTCTCATTTATCTCTTCCCCTCCATCTCCCCTCCTCCTCCCCTAACCCCTCCCTCCCTGCTCTCACTAGGGCTAACCTGTCAGTCACTTTAAATTCCTCTCGTGCAAATAATTAATATGGGGTCCCTGATGTAGGAGAGTTCTAATTTGCAAGTGTTCTTCACGCTTGAAGTGGCTGCAGGCCCCAGAGCTTGTAGTACCAATTCCCCCCCTGTCATCAGAGACAGGACGCTGGTTGAGTTACAGCAGTGGGGGGAGTAAAGAACCCTAACAGGCTAATAAACACTGATGATGCTGGCTGGGCTTGCAGGAACAATAATAATCTTCTCAACCTTGTTTACCTGCTAGGGCAGGGCAGCAAGGGGGAAAGGACTGATCAACTATGACAGCATGTTCCCAGCTTTATGGGTGTTAAGAGGAAATGCAGCATTTCCTACAGAATCAGGGCACTTTCTGCTGCCACCCACCAGCAGAGCGTCGGGAGCACAGGACGAGGAAGTAAAGAATTCATGAGTCTTGAAGGTTGACAGGTGATATTAGGATTATGGGAAAAAGAGGGTTCTTGTTTTACCGGATATCCAACCGAAGAGACGGACGTAGAAATGATCAGAAGTGGAAAAACGCAGCCCTGTTTTTCTACTGACTGAACATTACTAACAAACTCCAACAGCATCACAAGTTAAAGTCCCGGCAGTCATTTCTTTATGACATCTTTCATTCCCGTGCTTTGAATTCTACTGTGCAGGATCCTTTTGTTTACATACGGATGACTGATTCTGCTTTCAAGAGTAAATGTCAAAATGAAAACAGACGAAAACAAACGGGGAACATCACGTAAAAGACGACAGAGAAGATTTGGAGGCTGATAAGCAGACAAGCGATGAGATTAGAAAAAAAACACTAAACTAAACTTGTGTGCCAGCTGGAGTGGATAAAGTAAATCTGAATAAGTAAAGAGCGCTTTCAGACAGACTTACCTTGCCGTCGTTGCAGGTGTATACTGTTCTGGGTGAGGGTGAGTAGCTGGAACTGGTGTTGGCTTCTTCTCTGCAGGTCTCCTGGGCCTCAACAATAGGTTCAACCACTTCAGCCTTGATTGTCTGAGTGCCATTGTCATGCATAGGCTCTAGGAGACAAAGAGCTCATTTAATGCTACAACAAATGCACCTTTTTAGACTGATAAAGCACTTTATGAAACGTTAACGCACTGGACAATATGCTATTTATGAGTAGACAGCAGCACCTTAATCCCTACAGTAGTATAGTTTGAGTCTCCTCCATTGGACCGCCGCCCGCCAGCTTGTTTGCTTGCCTCCCGCCTTGGGCCTTGGCTTCCTTGCGCGTTGCGACAGGCGGTTATTTTAGCCCAGTAACTAAGCTGGCTTGGTGGCCGGCCACGCTAAGCTCCAATGTAGCTGATGAGTTTTAATATCGGTCAGCGCACTCCATCCCCTGCCTGACAGCACCCCGGGGTGCTCTAATCTTTAGCCTGTCCATTAGATGGTCTAGCCAGTAGCCCGGCGCCTCTGTTCAGATCTGCGGGGGAGCTGAGGTTAACGCCGGCATCTGGCAAAGCTCGAGTTCGTCCAGCGCAGCGCGAGGCAGTGACACCGCTGTTAATCACACTTACAACCACAGCATTGTGTTGTTTAGCCCATCAGATAGCGATCTATTAGTTCACACCTTCTACTCCAGATTTATCTTAGCTTACTTATTCTTATGTTTACTAATGGACTTATATCTTATTGTTACTCTGTCTCTGTTTTTTCGAGTAATATCAGCCACAAGGATTTTATCTGGGATAAATAAAGTCCTAACTTATCTCATTAAAATCCCTTTGCTGGATTATAATCTATTTTATGTACGCCTTCATTATTTTATACTTTCCTTTCTGCTGCTTAAACTGCACCTCCTGCAGCATGTAGGTCTCAAATCTCTTCCCCCAAGTTTTCCTCCTTTTCGTCTTGATCCTGATTCTTCATCTAGACGTTGGTCTGGCTGGATTATGACACACTGGCATGTGGCACTGGGCTACACAACATGAACTTAAACTAACTTCAGGCTAACTGCAGTCTGTTAGCAAAGCTTCTCCACTGTACACTGATCCATGAAGTCTGACACTCCTTGGAGCTGAACAACTGGGAATCTCGTGTTCTGTATAAATCCAACAATATTCAAGAATGAACCCCCAACCGTCTCCTGTTTTAGCTCATTGCTAGCTAACTGACATCCTGTAACTCAAACCAAACTAAAGCACACAAACTCAAAGCTGAGCTAACTTTAGAGCTGGTTTAGTTTTGCTTATAAACGTATTAGCATGACATAAGTTTAGCATGATGACAGTAAAATGAACTAATCGATTTGGACTAAAACAAGGCCTGAAAAAGATTCTGAAACTATTTAAAGGTCTTCATTGCAAACATTTTTGTGATTTTCCAGGTTGCATCTCCACGTGTCTTTTCATGCATTTGCCCTTAAAATAAGTGTAAAGTCTTGTCATATTAGTGCAGACATCCAGCAGCACTGGGATTATAACGTGTCCACACACTTGCTGCAAACCTCCTCTCACTGAAAATGGACAGATTTTAAAAGTTTTGTCTCCCTGAGTGGCAACTTTATCACTACATACCAGCTGATTTAACTTTTGTAGACTTTTAGTTTATATGACAGCTGAAGTTAGAGGTTATTAATCAGCGCTGTGGCCACAGGCAGCAGAGGTCTGAGTGTCGGTGTGCATGTTCCTGTTCTCTCACCGCTGCCCAGTCTCATGAGAAGAACGTCCTGCAGCCTCCTGTTGAAGTCCCTCAGTTCTTTGACTTCTGTCAGCAAGCTGCCATATTCCTTCAGCTTCTTGGCCTGCTGCACCAGCTGCCGGCGGGTTCTCTCCAGCTCCTGCTGCAGCCTCCTCATCTCCTCCTCCTGTTGCCTGTAGCTGTGAACCAGCTCCTCGTACAGGACTCTGGGAACCACGGCGGCGGCTACCTCGGACACGCAGTCCGTGTCCACCTCCAAGTGCTGCTGTTGCTGCTGGTGATGATGCTGCTGATGCTCTGCCTCCATGTCTTCGTCTTCATCATCTGCGTCCTCTCCCTCCTCGGCCAGCCGGTCCTCGTCCAGGTCCTCTTCGCCCTCCATACAGGAGCTGGCCGCGTTCCTCTCCAGGCGAGCCACTACTGCTGCCAGGCTCTTGGAGGAGTTGGAAAGTGGGCGTCCATGGTCATGAGACAGGGCCTGCGGGAAATAGTGACAATTTAGCAAAGAACCAAGCCAGAGAAAGGACATTTGAATATGCCAAATTGAACTTTGAAGATTTTGGAGGTAGGCCCGTGAAAACATTTTACACAATTTTGCAAATTTCTTTACTGCTTCAGTAAGAACTTGGACTCAAATGTGACTCCGTGTGATTCCATTCAACACAGGAGGAAGAACAGACACAAAAGCCGTTCTGAAAATGACATGACAGACAGAATGCAAAGGGTTTTATTTGGACTGTGTGGATCTGAACAGGAACTGGGAGGAGAGGAGTCACCGAGTTCTTTGATGAGCCGCTCAGAGGATTTGTCTGTGAAAGGGCAGCTGTCCAGAGTGCTGAATTTGTGTTAATCCAGCATATGGTAAAAATAGCGTGGGGGATTTGGGGTGTCAGCCAAGTTTATGAAAATGTGACGCTGACGTATCAATACGTATATTTACATATAAGATGATTTGTGTGTGTGTACATCCACTGAACACACGCAGCCACAACTACGGCTGCCAGTGACCTTTAATTCACTACTTGTATTATTTATTTATTTAGTAAAGCCAGGCCGGGCCTTCCTGACACAGCTCAGCTCTGACAAATACACCTCTGTTAGTTCATTTTGCCATAAAATTAATTTCCATGTAAAGAGATCATATAAGCATGACAAAAGGGACAGCGTGACAGTATGTCATGGTGTTGTTTCATTAATAAACAGGAGCACCTTTTGGTCCGTTATCATCAGAGTAAGTCATGTTCACACTCTTTTTTTTTTTGCAGAACAACCACAGCCCACCTCAGGTGATCCTACCTTTTTATGTCTGAGTGGCATTCTCTCCTCTCCAAAACTGTTCTCAATAGAGTTTCCTGAATTCTTGATGGACATCTTGGGAATTTTCATCTTCTTTTGCGTTATACTGTCTTCAAATTCTTCTACTGTATCTGTGAAGCCCAGAGATAGAAGCAGGAAGAAACTCATAAAAGTTCCCCAGAAAGTTACACGGATCTGTCACACAGGTTCACACACAGCAATGAAGTCCTTCTGCTGCTTTGTCTCCTCATTCTGCTGCATCAAACTAACTTTAGCTCCATGTTCTACACTTTAAGCTTTCCACAGGACTGCGGTACAGCCCGTCCTGGCTCTGGCTGATGCTGTGAAGGTGTTGGCTACCCTGTACGGATCCTGCAGCCCAGACGGCTCAGATTCGGGGATTAGTGATGTAGCTGGTTAAAGATCGTGCACAGAAAACGAACATTACTGAAGCTGCGGCTGAAATCACTTCACTTGCACACTTGAGCACGTTAACACGGTGTCATGTAAGAGCCATGACGTTGGCATGTAGCTGACGGACACACCGCTCTGTGTTGTCTGCATGGACGTGTGACGCGGCGGCGACTGCAGCACCGCAACCCCTCTGTGGCACAAACCTGCAGATAAGCCAGCTAACAGGCTAACCGCAACCCGCCCCAGCTGCCGGAGCACCGTCTCAACTACACCCGCACACTTCTGCAAATGACAGCAGATCAAACAGTCAGATATGTTCATGATGTGCTGACAGCTCTGCGTCCGCGCGCAGTTAAGCGGCGCGGCGGCGCTAGCATGCTAACGAGCGCAGACCGAGCTAGCAGGCGTTAGCTTCGCGTTGTAAACAACCGTTGAGAGTCGCTAACGCTGCCTGCCACGTATTTAGCGAGACAAGCAGCACTACTCCGCTGAAACCAGAGAGGTAACTCGCGGAACACGGCAGTCCGAGTGTAAAAATCTGTAAAGCACTGACGACAAGGTATGACTACCTACCAAACTTATCTTAGCATATCTAGCTAGCCGCAGCCGAGGACGTTGTTGTTGCTATCAGTGTCAGACTCCAGCTGATCGCGGCGGACAAAAACACTTGCTTTGACACATTTCCGAGTTTCGCGCACATCAACGTTAGTCGGTCAGACAGAGAAAAGGAGCGTTAAAAAGAGAGAAGCCGGCGTGTCAAGGAGGACAACTTACCTGCAAGGGCAAGGATCTGTGCTTCGCACGGCTGGCCTGCGCTGCCATTCTCTTCAGTTCTGTGAACCAGATACACCTTCTGATTATCAAAATCTGTTCTGTGCAGAGGTCTGAAATCTTCCACATTTGAAACGGGCAACGCGTAGCACATATCGTCTTCAAAGAATCTAACAAAAGCATACATTATTTACTTCTCTTTGGTCCTGCACTTTGGATATGGTTGACAGTTTTTCCTCACAAAGTATTAAAAAAATATACACATAGGGGGGTTGGGGATGGTGTCTGCGCTCGGCTACTCATGCCTGGTCCACATCACCACGGCAGATCATCAAGGCATGAGTAATAGACATGACATGAACTTTGCTGCAGGATGCGAAGCGATTCCGAAACTATTTTAAATACGTGGACGCAGATTTAAAAAAAAAAAACATGAAACACGCATAATGCATTTGCAGTTAATATTAAAAAGAAATAAAATAAATATTTACATGATAAATTTTAGCATTTTTTTTAATGCATTGCTTGGTGTTAAAGTGACATTTGACTAATCTCGGGTCACCACCCTGATCAGTCCTGATACCTCAGATCACTTTCTCTTAAGCCCTTTCTAGATATGAGGCACAGAATATTTCTGGCTTCATCAGACTGTTAAAGTGACAGCATTCTGTTAAAAGTCATGTTTTTTTGGTTACATTCACACAATCACTGCACATCAAGTGATGCATAACACACAATAATAAATAAAAGAGTAGCTTATCAAACTGTCTAAATAACTAACTGCTGAGTTTATTTCTAATTTATTTTCAGTTTTTCCTAATTACTAAAAAACTCTAAAAAAAAAAAATAAAAAAAAATCTAACTACTACTTTCCCACCAGTACAATAATAATTATTAATAAAAAATAAAAATAAAATTCTGTATTAAAAATGTATTAAATGCATTAACATTAGCTGATTACCTCTGTGTGGCAGCTCACCTGTCTAAGGTGCAGAAAAGTTCAGTGACTTGTTATCAGACCCTGATTCATCGTGTCTACATGTCGAGGATAAATTATAAATGAGAATATTTAATGAACTTACCTGCATCGTTGTTCCATGTTGTTCCAAATGTGCAGAACTTTTCTCCTTCAGAGACGTTTAAATGGATCCTGCTGCTGTTTGAGGCTGCAGGTATTTTATAAACTCAGAGGAAAGACTTCTACAAAACAACTGGACGCCACAAACTCAGCCTCAGCTCCTCCTGATGCTTTGTGCAATAAAGAAATAGATTAAAGTCATTTTTATCAGAATCAGAATCAGAAACACGTTTATTCCCTGTTTCTGATTCTGGTGATTCTTATTATGAATCTAAGCTGTTAGTGTTTGTTTTTATTGCAGCCAAGTTAAATTTTTAAGGACGTTTCAGTTTGTAAATGTGAAATTGTAGCGCAAACAGAATGAGGAAGTTGTGATTTTGGCAGCATAATTTGCGTTTTGTGCACTTTGTGTTGTTTTTGGAACAACATTGGAGCTGAAATGCAGATAAAGACCCATCTCGAAGCAGCTCGTGCATGTCTGTCCGTTATTATGACTGGCTGCGGTTCAGACTTGTTCCTTGGCGGAAGTGAAACGTTACCCAGTCCGACCTGCCGACGCAACCTTTACAGAAAGGCGAGCAGGTTGCTCATTCAGACACGAAGCCGACATGTTCGGTTTCTGTCCGATTTACGGGAAACGTTGCGGGTCTGAAGGAAAGAAACTTTAGAAGAGAGTTTTTTTCAGATAGCTACAACAAGAAAAACCACCGAGATGATTAGCTGCCTGGTTGGATTTCGTTGTGCTTTCATGTGTTTCCCGGTGTTCCTCTCATCTGTTCCTTGTATCACACCTGAAACACTTAAGAGCAGCTGACAGAAATGAACTCTTTGTTATTGTAAGACAGCCAGGTGGTTATACAACAGGATGGATTTCTCTCAGTTGTTACTCTAATGGAGGGCACCACAGTCGATAAATGACACTAACAATTTCGTTCTGCTTCGGCTGCTGTAATTGAAAAGTAACTGATGCAGAGCCTTTTTTTTTTTTTTTTTCCTTCTCTGATATTTCGTTTCATAGTTTCAGGCATTTAGTTAGTTATGATTAGGCCCCGTTTCAAATGCCAGCTTCCCCGTCATGTTTGTTCACCGTGCTGTATGACCGCTCCCAGACTCTGCTAGATGTATACAAGAGAATTAAAAAAAACACACAAACACACAAAATGAAAATAACTCTCACAGCATAATGCCGCTCCTTTCATTTCAGTTATTGGAGCGGCGGTTTAGGCTGTTTTTCAGTGCAAGTGAAGGGTTACGTCTGCCAGCTATTGATTTGGGAGCTGGCTTCACTTTTCTGTGAAGGATCACGAAGTCAAACTGTCAGAACGCAACACATTCATACACAAAAGTTCAATTTTCTCCACGTTTTAAAAGCAAATGGACCGAGAATTATCGAGAGAAGTTTTGGAGGCTAAGCTTGCAGTTATCTCGTAAACGTATTCGCAGCTACTTTGGCAGACCCCACAAACTACAACAGGAGTGATGGTGATAGACGAGAGATTTGAGCAGCTTCTGAACAAGTCGAACAGAGGATTACTGTTAATCTAAGCTTCTGTTCAATGGCTCTCCTGTCCTCAAAGCTGGGCTTGTCAGCATAAGGCTGCTCAGTTTCTGGAGCTTTCTGCCTTTGAAGTGGCCGGTGTTTGAAAGACAACACCTCTCCTCCCACTTTAACACTCCTGCAGTGTACAGTCTGCACAAGTTTAGTCAACATTTAAAACTACTTTTTCCCCATAAAGGTGCAGCTGAGATAGAAGTCGGTTCACAGACACAATGAAAGTTGATCTCTCTAAATGAAGTGTATTTCCAATTCCTGAAAAAAGTACATGTGCATATTTCCCAAGAGTTTCAGAGTGATTCCAGCACAGTGTCTCACTTTCAAAAACACATTTACTCACAACAACTCGGGGCTGGAAATTCATCAGGCAAAAGGTTTGGAACGAATATACACACGGATATGTAAACGTTCATTAATCTGTGATTTTTTTTTGGAATTTCTTCATTGCAGATTCTACAAAAACTTTTAAGCAATTTTTTTGCAATATATATTAATGATTCTGACTGTCTATGTGTTATAATAAACTCTGTTTTCTCAGCTGAACCTATGATCCTGTTTTGCTTTCTCTACTGAGTCCGTCCTTGAAGATAACACGGGGGGTGAGAACTGGTCCACGTACTGGGAGACAGCGGGTTCCTCGGTTCTATCAGCTACTTTAGATACTCACACACACTTTGTATTCGATCCCAGCAGCTTCTGTTTACATGTCAGTGATTAGCCTGTTCACAGAAACTGGCCAGTTAACCTGCGTACAAGTCCAACCTCTGTACGGGGCAGGCCCGGCCCAACAAGATGAATGTGAATCATTTCTGGATATTGGGGCTCCTTCTGTCACTCCGAGCCCAGCGCTGCCTCACTTTACCTGTGACCTGAATAAATTCTACATCTGTGAACTGAAGGTTTCTCCGGTTTGTTCTTGGGCTTCTTACTAACATATGTGTTATTTAAAGTTGTCATTTTGGGGGAATTGTGTTTTGTAATTGATGCTTGTGTGGGGTTTGCTCACTGGTTGTGGAGTGATGCTCGAGCAAACGCTGAAAATAAATGTAGTTTTGCAAGTTAGACAGTGTGCAGGAATCTGTTTGAGATATGTTCGTCTCTCTCCTACACACCTGTGATGTGAAATAGATGTGCAAAAAGATCCTTTGTCTTACATAGTCTCTAAGAAAACTCCTCTGTACTCGAGGAAGGCAGCGTGACTAAAACATTTACAAACCAACATGCCTAAACTCTTCCCCTTCCATAAACTAAACTTGAATCAAAACGAGCTGTCTTTATGACAACTATACAGCTCTGGGCCTTTCTGTGCAAGACCGAGGAAAGAAAAGCATCCCTAGCATTTACACACTGGAAAGAAAAAACCCTCCAAACAGCTGTGCAACAGTAAGAAATACTGCAATAAATGCAGCCACAAAATCCTGCAGCTGAGTGGTTCAAAGTTGGGATCCGAGTGGCTGAGAGAGCACGCTGAGCTGTGTAATAAATAAAATGTGGATCATTCTGATATTGGTGCTGGAAGGCTGATTTGGCATCTATTTCAGTATTTATGTTGTTATTATACGTTGTGATGATCTCAAAAATGATCTGTGATACCGATTCAGTAGCGCTGACTTTGCAGAATTTGAGTGAAATGTTAAAACTTCCAACAGACCAAAGTGAGTGAGTTCAACAACTGATGATGAAGTGATTCCTATAAGTTGATTGATTTGGGAAAGTGTGTGAAATGTTATTTCTTTATAATGCAGTGCCTCTTTCTGTCTCTCATGAACAGAGCAACGAACCCACGCAGGAGGAACGATCGGCTTTTTACCACAACAGAATTAATCCAGAGTTCAAGCCCTGTTAGCATCATTAGCTCGTTAGCATCTCTGCACAAATTGTCCAAAATCTACCAGTTCAAGTGACAAATTAGTCTATTTATCAGCACAGTAAAACCAGTTGATTGAACTTTTATATTAAGTCAGCATGTTGGGTGTTGCGTTTCCCTTCCAGATCCACAGCTACTAACCGGGTCTTTACTCGGGCCCGGTTTGTAACAGGGTCGTTCCACCTCAAATCACCAGATTTCAGAAAATCTTCCCACATGACCATCTTGGATTGGGTTGAAAAAAGATGAGATTTTGTTTATTCACTTTTATGGATATTTACAATTATTATTTGTATCTCAGATGCCAATTAAAGTGCAAATGTGATTTTTTTTGTTGTTGCCATTTTTACCACGACAAGTTTGGAACATTCTCTTTCATATGACTTCCATCATGTGTTGGTTTGACCTGTCATTCATTGGTTGAGTAAAACTGTGATACTTACCATTTTTGAAAGAGTCCGTATCTCAGAGGCTGTTTGTGTCATCTCCATGAAATTGGGTACACTGAAACATCTCATATTGGACCACGTAGCACAATAATTCCAGACTTCTATAGTAAATCCTGCATGTTTTATGAGTGTACAAAGATGGTCTCGGGCGTTAATATTTCCTTACATTGAACAGACCATAGAATCCCAGTGTGTGCATTGAGGTACCTGTAATATGGGATTTAAACGCCTCTAGTATCGGGGAAATGTGCTCTCAAATCTGAAGTCTTTACCATAAATACTTCTTGAGATATTGTCATCCAAAGTGTTCAAAGTTAGGATCTCGTCACAAATTTCGCAAA